CCAATCTTTGGTTTTTAGTTAGTAGTGGGTTTCTTGCTTTCTCCTATATATGTAGTTCCCCTTCTCGTTTTTTTTCTGTTAGTTTTTTGTAGTGTATTAAAAAAATCAATAAAAAATTCCCCTCTGGGAGAAACAAAAACCCCCCACAAAACCACAGATGTTAAAACTCCTATGTTACAATGTAGCAGCTAAAGTGCTGTATTGTAACCTTTCCTTTTGTTGCTTGGATTTACCACTTCTATAGGCCTTAAAAGTAAGTCCTTGAAGTATTTAATAAATGCTGGCCTATGCAACTGGCAAACAGACAAACACTGCTGCTGTCACCACTGCTTCTGCTCCTCTGTTTCCTTTTGCTCTCAGAGGGAACTGAATGCCCACCTGTTTGCAGCCCCTTCCTATAACAATGTGATGTGGGCCAAACTGGAACCACCAAGCCTTCAGGTCTGCTGGCCCTGCCCCTAAGCCATGCAACTGGCCAAAACACAGGGGGAAGGGCTGCAGCAAGCAACATTAGTTGCCTAGCTGTAGCCATTGCTAAAACAGAGCCCTTGTTTTTCCTCCCCATCTCCCACCCAGCACAGACAGCTGCCTTAGCTTATGGCTGAGAACTGAACTTCCAAGAAAATGTTGAAAGGGACAAGGAAAGATTAGGAAGTGAATGAAAACTGAATCTGATGATGAAAGTTTGCATAGACTTTGGGCTCACGGTTTACTCTGAAGACAAAAGAAATGGAAAATGGCACGCAGCAATTTATATTTATTCTTCTGTTATTCTAAATATCCTAAAATCAACTGTAGAAGGAAGTAGAATGCATATTCTGACAGGATCTCCTGAGTATTGCTAACAGTGATTCATAACAACAACATTGTGATGCAATGAAATAAGGTAACCTCTCCTTTGGTACAACAACGTTGTCATACAATATTTTCACCAATGATCTGCTCTTTGCTTAAAGGAAGGCGGGGTTACAACTAAGTGTTGGGGCCATAAATAAGGGGGTCCCTATGTCAGGAACATTAGAAGTCAGTTAACATAAGTATATTGTTAGGCTGTGCTGAGACAGCTCTCCCACCACCACCACCACCAAAAAAAAGGAGGGAAAAGCATTTTAAGTCTGCTGAAACTGAACTGCTGCTTGCACAGAGCCGAAACTAGACAGTCATTAGGAAGTTTAGATATCAAGTCAAGAGTGAAAGAACATTTTCTTCAAGCTGGCCAGCAAGCAGTGTTTTAAGCAGCATGAATCCTCTGTTCGGTACCTTGTTATTTTCACTGTTACTTCTTCTAACCCTCAGGATTCAAGAGCTGATAGAAGCTTGCAGCTGTGCTCCTGCTCATCCACAGCAGCTCATCTGCGATTCTGCTTTAGGTGAGTCATAAAATGTTATGTGCAGTTTTTACACTGCTAGTAAGCAAGGAACAGGCACTAGATTTAAATGTGGTGGCTTTTCTGCAACTCTCTAGGGCTTCACATCTAAGAAATAGTAGTATTTGGTTCCATGAGAAAAGGTTTAAAACAAAAAGTATTACAAGAATAAAATGCAGTTGTTTCTTTAGCATTTCAGCTTTCTCTGCAAATGTGTCTTATTATAGTGTACTGTATGGACTTTACAGTAACAAGAACCTGAGCTAAGTGCAGCTGACTGAATATGTAAAATAATGTAATGTATTATGTAATGTATATAACATGTGTAAATTATAGGAATCTTTTTTTATTGTTACATTACCCTATAATTGAACAAACTGGATATTAGGTGATAATCTAGTTTTTCACTAATTTCTTATATAATTATCTCCTTTTTGGGGGAGTCAAAGAAGAATTGGGCAACCTGCCAGCTCTTTAAAAATGAACATTTGGCAAAGTATTTTACACAGTCTCAAAACATATTTTAAAACAAGTTTATTTTAAGCTTTCAGTCTACATATTAGCAAACTAATCATACACAATTAGAACCAACATTCAAATAAGAAAATTTGACATTGTACACTCTTTTCATTTTAATCAGCTCATGCTATGGCTAGTTAGCTTCCATCCAGAGTGAACAGTAAATGTAGAACATGAGTTTCTAAAATGTCACAAAATTAGCATCTCTATGGGACAAGCAATACCTTCTGCATACTGATTAATTGCTTTCATGTGCTGACAGAAAATCTTTGTAGCCATGACAAACTCTAAACTCTGTTTAAAACCACCAATTAAAGTGTTTCTTAATCTGGCTGCGTTAAGTAATGTTTTCATTAGATTACCTACACCAAACATGCCAAATTGGAATTCTCTGGAAAAAGCACATTACTTTTACATCAATTTAATAGTCATTAAACATTTTGAAAGAATCCAGTCAGTACTCAAAATGCATCTGATGCATTTTTCTGAAAGTGAAAACAGCCACATCAAGTAGTTGTTGGTAATCAGTTTGAAAGACTTCATGGCATCACATAGTTTAGAGCAAATAGAAGCATTGATACAGAAAGGAATAAGAGAAGGATCCCTCCCCCCCAAATGTGGTATACAATTTTTCTAGTCTTTAAGAGCTGACTTTGCAAAATGCTACCTTTAACCAAATTAAATGCATGCTTATTAACAACATAGTAAAAATCACCCTATTAATGCAGTGTGGCAAGAAGCCATTTTTAATTCCTGGACAGCACACACCCAAAGCAGACTTTATATGTTACAGAGTATTATAGTACCCATTGTGGAAAATTTATTTGTGAGACAACCCACTTTGTCAGATGCGTGCAGTGTTAAATTCAGATGTATGGGCAACTAAATGCATTCTATTTGATCTGGACTACAGACTGTCTATTTACTCAGAGTTCAGAGTTGTTGATATGTCAGAGGGTCATGGGGGTGGGGGTTGAACTGGAATACGTATGCTGTAAAAGCGGATGACATGATTGTACATGTCTCTTATAGTCTATATTTCTGAATTCATTCACTATGTTGATTCAGTCTAACCCGTGTTTAGAAAATCAGAAAACAACATTTCTGTGATATCCTATACTTAAAATCAGAAAACAACATTTCTGTGATATAGGTATTTGCTTTAGAGAGTTTGGAGAAGGGATATTTACTTTTTCCTGATGTCCACTTTTCTCAATCAAAAACCAGGAGAGAAAGAATAGAGGAAGATTGGGGAGGTGGTTGTAGAGGTCTTCACTGTGCTAACTAACGAAGAAGAAGGAACCAAAGGGTTTTTATGAAGGACATTAATCAACATTGCTTTTGTGTATCGCTGCTCTGAAATAGACTTGGGTGTGAAGAACTGGGGAAATGTATCTAGTTTTATAGCTTTTACAGAAAGTGATCTTGGATTCAAGAATATGCATCTGTACCTATATATAGTAGCATTTAAACACGATGAATAATTAAATTTGGACATTTACCACTTTAGCAGCTTATTTGCTTAACTGGATCTAAAACAAAAATTCTTAAAACAATTCTTGTTATGAAATAGTATTTGAGGACATTAAAATCAAGACAAAATAAACAAGCATATTAAATCAACAACACTTTAAATAATTCAAACCTCATATTTGACTTCTAAATTCTTGAACTTTCCGACTTTCCATACGTTTACTTCTTGAATGTGGAAGGGTGGCACAGGCATTGGTTAAATCAACAGACCTCACTTGAACAACCTCTGGCTAATTCAGAACCCTCAGCATTCCCAAGACTAAACAAGGAGCACTTTCACTGTGGCATTTGTCTGTGTGATTAGTGGTGTGACATTTTGTCTATTCCTGTCAGGGGATCTTTTGTTGCTTCAAGCTATGCTTAGTTTCAAAACACTCCATAACTACCAAACAGGCCCAAGTAACTTGGAACAAATCAGACCGGCAGGCTCAGATACCATGAAGGATAAGAGCACATACAAACATGAATCGAAACTACATTAATATTTGAGTATGACAGCAGAAACTGTGTCCTGTAGTACAGCACACAATAAAGGCAGTAGCTTACCAGCACTGTCCATGTTAGTTTGGCCTTGCATAAGCAGCTCAACAACCAAGCTTCCTGTGACCTACTTCTTCAAAATACCGAACACTTTATGTGCTGTGCCTATCCTCCTAACTTCCTATGTCTTATTTCAGACTTTACTAGGAAGCAAAAGAGGGTTTTCCTTAGTCTCAAACAGTGGACTGTAAGAGTTGCAGACTGTAAAGATCTCCACCTGTTCAGAGCCATGTAAATGGTGAACATTGTATTTGTGACAGTGAATAACACTGCTCAAACTATATGACTAACATATACTTTAGGAAGCTTCCAGAAAGCAGAAATTCTTAATAGAAATTGGTAGCCAGTGCTTAACAGTTGGAGAGGTGTACATCTATCAACTGCACATTCCTCCCAAGAATAAATGCATATGAACAGAAATTAAGCTGCAGAACTATGTTCCAATATATTTATCTGGCCTTTTGTATATATTTAATTTAATTTAATTCTATAAAAATGTACAAGTTGCAGTGTACAAAGTGGGTAAGAGAGGATGTGGCTTCTCTTTCCTTATCCATTTACAGGTGCATGAACCTTCTGCATATTGCAGCCTTGGCATGTCTTCTCTGGCTGGCAAACAATCAAGGTTCATTTCAACTCACTTCTCTGAAGTGGTCAGCCAGCGGGCAAGTTGCATTCATTCACAACGAATGTTACAGATGGTAGTGATAAATGGCTGTTACCTACTGGAGAACTCCATTACAAGGCCCACCAACGTTTAATCTCATATTCTGTCCATGCACTTTATTCTCTCTCTCTCTCTCTCTCTCTCTCTCTCTCTCTCTCTCTCTCTCTCTCTCTCTCTCTCTCTCTCTCTCTGTGTTCTTAGTAAAAAAACCCACACCTTAATGTTCAAAGTGTTCATGATGTTGTTTGTCAAGTTTGCAATCTGATATGAAATCAGGTGCCATCAATGTATTGCTGACATCCCGATCAGACATTTTCTTTGGATTATGATCTTGCAGTCTTTGAATTGCTGCTGCTTGTGAATTGAATTAAAATCTATACTATCTAGAATACACATTCAGTTCAGAAATGGATGACTTCTTCCACATTAACATCATAATGAAGTAATACATTTCAAACTAAATAGCCTTCTTAGCATTATAAGTGAAAGTGACTGGATTGGCAGGCTGTAGTTGAAGAATGGATGTATGTGAACTGATCTGAGTATGATCTAGATGTGGACCTTTGAAAATGGTCTGGAAACTTCAGCTTGTCCAAAACTCAGCAGCCAGGCTATTGTCAGAGGTGGGATACAGGGATCATATCACCCCAGAGCTGAAACATCTGGATAAGCTGTCAATTTTATTTCCAGGCACAATTCAAAGTGCTGGTTCTTACCTTTAAACCCTTTAAGCCAGTTTGGTGTAGTGGTTAAGTGTGTGGACTCTAATCTGGGAGAACCAGGTTTGATTCCCCACTCCACTTACAGCTGCTGGATGACCTTGGGCAAGCCATAGTTTTTTCAGAGCTGTTATCTCAAGGACAGTTCTCTCAGAGCTCTCTCAGCCTCCACTTACCTCACAGGGTGTTTGTTGTGGGGAGGGGAAGGGAAAGTAGTTTGTAAGCCACTCTGAGACTTCTTCTTCTCTTCTAAGTGGCTATGGGTCAGGGTACTTGAAGGTCCACCATTTCTCATACTGTCCAGCTGATCCATTAAGATCTGCCTCACAGGTCCTGCTTTCTCTAAGTTTCAGTTGTGGAACCTCATTTGTGGAATGCCATTCCCTTTGAGGCTCACCTAGTGCCTATGTTGTTTGGTGTAGTGGTTTGGTGTAGTGGTCAAGTGCGCGGACTCTAATCTGGGAGAACCGGGTTTGATTCTCCACTCTTCCACTTGCATCTGGTTGGATGACCTTGGGCAAGCCGTAGTTCTGATAACAGCTGTTCTTGAAAAAAGATCAATTTCTGTCTAGAGTTCTCTCAGCCCCACCTACCTCACAGGGTTTCTGTTGTGGGGAGGGGAAGGGAAAGGAGTTTGTAAGTCGCTCTGAGACACCTTTGGGTAGTGAAGGGTGGGGTATAAATCCAATCTCTTCTTCTTCTTCTTTTACCTAACAGGGTGTCTGTTGTGGGGAGGGGAAGGGAAAGGAGTTTGTAAGCCGCTCTAAGACACCTTTAGGTAGTGAAGGGCGGGGTATAAATCCAACCTCCTCCTCCTGCTCCTCCTCCTCCTTCTTCTTACCAAAATGTTTCTGTTCACCCAAGATTGTAATTATGGGTTGCTTTTTTAGTCTGGAAATTTATTTAAGGGTGTCTGTGGTCTGTGTTTATGGTCTAGGTTTTTATGCTGGGCTGTTTTTTAATAATGTTGGATATTAATTAATATATTATAAAATTTAGGGTTTTAAAATTATTTTTATGTTGTA